ATTTTCTTTTTTCAAGTAGTTGGCAGGAAACTCAACAACATTTTACTATATTTCCTGGCCATTAGGAAATTCATTCAAAATAAATGTTTCCTGAGTGCCAGTCTTTTGCTGAGTCATAGGCTACATGTGGAGATGCAGAGATGAGTCAGAAATTATATATTTCCTCAGGAGTTTCCCATTCCAGAGAGGGAGATGGACACAAAGAGCAAGTTATAAAAAAATGTGAGATGTGCTACTGGTTGACATTTATGATTGACCGTGGGCTTATAGAAGAGTGGGTCACCTCATTTGCTAGAGACTCAGGGCCAGTGCGCTTCACACTGAGTTTGAGCCCTAGGGCAGAAATTCTGAATGTTCTATGACCACCGCTTTTTATCTCATTCATGCTGTTGAGTCTCAGCTGTGACATTCCCTGTCTTAAAAAACGCAGTTGCATTGTACGTATAGCATGTAAGCTCTTTGGTTCGGTAGAGTCTGGAGCATGTTCTACAATAGTCACGCTTTCAGTGTTGAATGAGTGAATTATTTAACAGATAGCTAGCAAAAATAAAAGACTTAAGTAGTGAGTAGCAGATAGAGGAAGGCCATAGCTGGATGGCAGAACATCAAACTGGGTGACCACAACATCCAATGGACTGGATGTAGACCAAGTGAGAGCCACCACAGGACCAGATCAAATCTAGGGCTTACAAATAGGCGGCAGAAATCTCCTGGAGAAGCCCCACTGAGGCAGCCAGCTGGAGTTTCCAGTCAAGAGTCCTAGGTAGAATGGGATCATCTTCTCAGGTAAAGGACAAACACCAGCAGACCAAGAACATCATCGAATTGGGAGTTTACAACCAGCAGAAACAAACTGTGGAAACTGAGGCAGTCAGCTGGAGTTCCTAACTGAGAGACTCCTGGGCGAGAGGGCCCTCTCCAGCCTCTCCAGCCTCTTCACGCATGAGCTTTCTATGGATGAACTTCTAGCTTCGTGTTCAGTTAAGGTGGTTGCAAATAGTTTATCTCCTAATCTGTTCTCAAGGACAGTGTTCCTAATGCCCACTGTGGCTTGCTCTTTTCCTAGTTAGAGAGCGAAGGAGCCTTCCCCAGACAGTGCAGGGCCTCCCCTCTCCCAGCGTCAGCCTTCACCAAGTAAGAGCAGAGGACAGTTAACCAATATAACGTACCTTACACTGCTTAAACTCATTTTGGAAGGAAAGCCGTTACTTATAAGCAGGCCTGTGGGCATTAGTTTAGGCAGGCTTTAGAACAATTACATGGGAGCTGGGTCTGTTAGGATAGAAATGGGTACTGAATGGACCTTGAAGCAAAGATTACAGGCAGAGGAAGTCCAACATGAACTGAGCCATGAGAAGATAGCAAATTTAAGGGTGTGAGGGTGAGTTTGGTCTGATTAGGTTGAAAGATACGTGAGGTGGGGCAGATGGAGGAGGTGCTGAGACTCAAGAAGGATCTAGAAAAGCCCTGAGTGTCTTGTGAGGAGTTTGGACTTGTTTTATTACTTAAGAAGTGGAAGAGATGCCACGGGGTACAAGCAGGGGTGTGTCACGGGGTACAAGCAGGACACCCTGTCCCGTGGTGGTATGGAGGATGCTTTGGGCATTCGGGAGAGCAGTTGCAGATTAAGGTCTGACAGAAGAGATGCACAGTGAGAGTAGGGGAGACAGCAGTAGATAGTGAAGGAAATCATAGGATGGGTTTTGTTAACTGGTTGCTCATGTTGGAGAGCATGCTGAGGTTTTTTTTGCTTGGGAAGCCCCGTGGGTAGGGCTGAAATCACCAGATGTCATGAGACTTGTAGATGGTGGGGGAATAATTAGTATGGCTTTAGCTCCCTGGAGAATTAATAATTTCTGAGGTGCCCATATGGGACAGTGATAGAGGAAGTTGGTAGAGAGATGGCAATATGTCTGAACAAGCAATGATCGTCTACCGTGTGAAAGATGCGCACACAGTGTAGCTCCCCCTTGACAGAGCAGATGGATAGTAGTGTGGAGAAATTGTTATAAGAGATGCTGTGGTAAGAGCTGAGTACTTGATAGCCCCGGGCTAGAGCAGATCTGAGACTCAGTCTTCTGAAGTGTGGGAGTGGAGGAGAGTGTCCTGGCTAAGACAAGAAGCAGGATGGTGTGGAACACCCCCAGAAGGGCACCTTCTGCGTGTCAGAAATGCTTCCTGCAGGGGAGCCTTTAATAATGAATCTAAAGGCATTTCAGGGGAGCCTGGGCGGGGGCTGGTGTAGAATGGAGCTGTGGAGGAGATGAAGGGAGGGGTCAGGACTTTTAAGAACTCTCATCTAGTTTAAAGAAGGGTTCCTGTAAGTGGGAGGACAGAGAAGAGGAGGGTGAGGAGTGGGGGGCTTGCCTTAAACACAAGGCTGGATCCGGTCTCAGTCACACTCAGATACAGATGGCAGAAATAAACACTTCCACGTTCTGCGGCTACTTGAAGAGAGCGGGGAAGGGGGCTGACACCCAGGAAAGGCCACTGCTGGTGCAAAGCCCCTAAAGGAAAGAAGGTGGAGGGGAGGGAAGGGGGTGGGTGAGCGCCCGTCCTAGCCAGGGAGGTCTGAGCATGTGAACAGAAAATGACAGCCACAGTTAGCATGAGGCTCTGAACAACTGCCATTTCTACTTCCTTTAGGCTCTTCATGGTGTTTTCAAGAAACCAGAAAACTATAATTCCCCTATTTATTCCTTATCAAAAGAGATACTTTGGATAGTAGAACGTGTAGCTGTAATTAGTAAAAACATACAAATGGCAAGCAGGTGTGTGTCACCATGCATTCAGCAAATATGTACCCAGTGCCTGCAGCATGGTGGACAGCCTTCAGG